GTGTCGTTTGAGCTCCCATATATATATATATATATATATATATATATATATATATATATATATAATTTTATGAATTTAGAAAAATAATTATGATTGAATTAATATCAACACAAGTGAAAAAGTTCTTAAGTCACATTTTATTTTAAATAAAATGTATGTGGTGCTTAAGTTTTTTTTATTTTTTTGAAGATTGATTTAAGTATTTTAAAATTTCTCTATAGGTCCATAGACATTCAATTTGAGAGAGGAAAACTGATTTTAAAAAAATATGACGTCAGCTCCTTGCTCATGGATCTCAGTATTGTTGGAAATTATATTAGGCGTCATAGTTCAATATATTAGTAATTTTTTTAAAAAAATTATCATGCTTAAGAAGCATATATAGTTAATTAATACAAAAGAATCTCATGATATCATAAATATTATGAATTAATCAATTAATTTATCTATTTCTTCTTCTCAAAATATATATCTTATATTAATATATTATTTTGAACAGTACTGAATTAGATCTTCTTAAGTAAATTTTTTTTTAGTCTTATATATGAAGAAAATATGATTGAAAGGAGAAACTTCATTAAAGGTAGTCAATCAAGTTTCTTGACAAAGATTAATTATTGACTTTTTTATACTAATAACATAATTATCAAAAAAATATATCATATTTTATAAAAAAACAATGTAATTGCGTGCCTTATAATTAAGAAAATATTACTCTCTCCATTATATTTTTTTTTGACGTTATATACCAAAAAAATATTATTTGACATTTAAAATTTTAACACGTAATTTAAGAAATATAATTAACATTTACTATTTCATAAAATAAATTGTATAACTTCTATATATTTAAATCTTTTGGATTCTCACCGGTGATTAAAAAATGTAATAATAATAATTAAGAATATAATATAACAATATATATAATATTATATTGATATTGTAAATTAACAATCAAATTAAAACAAATAAAAATACTAAAATGTGAAACAAAATTCAATAAAAGAAATCTATATTATCGTGTATAATATAATTAAAACAACGCAATGATATTCATTAAGTTCTAAATAAAATTTAAGTCGGTCATAATTAATTTTCATTGACTAATTGAGTCATATATTAAATGGTTTTCCCATACTAATAATTATGTATTTAATATCTTGCCTCGGCACATGTTATAAATTAAATGCTAAATTGATATTTAAAACATTAGTCAATAATTGATATATTTTTTTTCTCTTATTTATCACAATAAGAATATTTGATAGAAGAAAAAATTTTTATGCTCAAAAATTATAATTCTTAAAAATCGTGAAGCTTAGAAATTATGATACTTAAAAATGATTAAATATATTTGATTGATTATAAATATATTTTTGAAAACGTTTATAAATATTACTTAGAAATAAATCTTTTTAATATATTGATTATGCAAATTAAGACAATACAATAGTTTTATTAAAGCATTTTTTTTAACCAGGGAATGTTAGATTTTTACCTACCCTCATGAGAATAATTTGGTGAAAAATCTGCATATAAATTTTTTTTTTGGGAAATTATGTTTTTTTAGGAATGTTATTTTTTTAAATAATAAAAAAAACATGAGAAATTAATATTTTTAACTTCAAATTTCTAAGAAGGCCAACATTTTGTGCGACAAATGTCAGACTTCTTTTTTTTGCTGCTTATTTTACCTAGAGATAAGAATAAGTTAAGTTAAGACAAATTTTAAATATATAGATCGAGTCTCTTCTACAAAATTAAAGTTTAAGTCTAACATTTTATCTTTCATAGATTTTTTTTTATAAGTTTCATCTGACCTTTTAAAGTGTGATTTGAACTATTAACCTATTGAAAAGTCTATTTACATTAACCATGTTAATTAGGTCAACAAATTTATTTTTAAAATATATTTTATTCAATATTATTAAATTTTAATTTAAAATAAATATTGGAGAAAAAGTGAATCATTTTTTTATTGGAGGGACAATTTATGCTTAGTAATGTATATTGACATACACTCTTATTTTATATTTTTAATAATATATATAGTAATTTTTTTATTATATTATATAAATAAATAGATTGACCTATCAAACTTAACAAATTTTTTTATAAGTCTAAATCTAACTTTTATTTTATAATATAAATAGACATTTCTAAAAACTTAAACTTGACATTTTTATTAAACAGGTCAAGGCAAATCAACTTTTTTTATTTATAAAAAAGTTAGGTTATAAATTCGTATTTAAGGTTTGATCTATTTTCATCTCTAATTTTACTCGATTCTTCTAATTTAATTGATTAGCTTATAATAAGTTTTCAACATTACAACTCTTATATTGAATTTATGCTTATAAAAAATTATGACTTATAAGTTCTTGACTAGATTGTAAACTTTTGGCTAGCGTTACCAAACACACAAAAAAATTATTAGTTAAGAAACAACTCACAAGAATTCTTTAACATTAAGCTTAAATTTGTTTTAATTCTATACAAACATGATTTCGTTTAATTTGTGATTGCGATAAAAGAAAATTAAGTTTTAGTTCCTTAACATTTTCTTTTGATCTTTAACATCAATTCTAGAGAGTTAAAATAATTAAGATGATTTTGAATAACATAACTAAAAAAATAAAATAATTTTAATAAATATAATTATATAAAAATAGGATAATTAAATATAAGTTTTTTTTTTTAATTTTTAATATATATTGAATAGTAAATTTTATTATACTTTTAACATTCTCACTTTTCAATTCACTAATTTATTTTTAATATTGTGTTCATTTTAAAATATTATAATTTACTTAAGCATCTTTAATATATTTTTAACACATTACTTTTAATGTTATTTTTACATTTCAAATAATTAATTTTAACTTATTGTGATATAAAGAGTAAGAAAAATGTTAAAAATAATAAAAATGATTGTATATAATATATTAAAAAATAATTATAGAAGTTTTGTAAATATGTTTTTATATAAAATG